GGCTCGGGAACACCACCCCCCCCCCGTCCGCCGGCCCCCCCCCCCAATATGCCATACCAGGCCAGGTACCCCAGGGCTGTGCTGCTGACACCTTGACCAGTCTGGTCCATGGCCTGTTGCTCAACTGTTTAACCACACATAGCCTTTAATGTGAGAAGTGTTGGTCTGAGACGGTTCTGCTGTGTGGCTGTTCACTCACCTTCTGCTCAGGGTTTGTCTCTGATGTCCAGCTTGTGCTGAGGCCTGCTGCGAGCAGCACCATTAGGCGAAAGTGAGAGCAACATGTTCCTGATACTCACGGGTCCAAAAAAAAAAAAAAAAAAAAGGACTAAGATCTGCTATCTTTGCCAGTTTACAAGTAAATGCTCATTAACATCTAAGACAAAAGGCTTTGAAAGGAAGCTAGTTCTTGCGCATTAACTCAAATGACCACAAGGGAGGGTACAGGCCAAAATTCTGAGCTGGACAGTACAAATATATCAGCTCACCTGAACAGCCCATTGTCCTGTAAATTTGAGAGAGCCAAATGAACCATGACACAATTGTCATGGGCATTACACTAAGAGTGCTGGGGCAGACATCACTGCCTGGGCAGGTTGGGCTTAGGCATGAAAGAAACAGGACCCCCCCAACCCGGGTGAGGTTCTCTGGAGCAAAGTCTGGCTGGTCCCTGAAGGCCTCATGTCTGTCACAGGGAAACACAGTGCCTTGCAGGCAGTCCACACTCAGCTTGGTGCTGGCAAAGGACACCAACATCCACAGCCCTGTAACTGCTTTGGGATGAATGCTGTTTGTCAGCCCTGGGCAAAAGAAAAAGCCAGGGTTTGCATCTGACTTGCTGCCCACACCCTGGTTGCCACTGCCCAATCAAAAACGTTACTGCCACCAACGTCTCCTCGAGGACTCCTGAGGGGAGCAGAAGGCCACTTGCTGCTGCCAGCGTCAATGCTGTGCTGGGACCAAGGGCACCAGCACGGTCACCCTGGATCCAGCTGAGGGCCTGGGACCTCACCCAGGACAGAAACTGACTGCAGCGTTGTCAGAGAACAGACAGGAGATTATAGAAAATAAAGACTTTATTTTTTTCCAGTTCATAGGACAGTTCCCATTACACAGAACACGAACAGTTGAAGGATCCACAGCCAGTAATGCCCTCCTGTTCACTCCTCTCCTGCTGCGGACGGTGACATTTTTACACTGCTGTGGGCTCAGGTGGGGCCTTCTGCTTTCTGTGATGCTCCAGTCCAAAAGCCAACACAGCCATTTCCACCAGGGCTCTTGGAGGCAGCAAATATTACTGGATCACATCTTAAAACTTAAGCTCAAGGTGAGGGCAGAGGCTGCCTGTTCAGCACCCAGGCAGGCTCAGAGTGAGCACCATAGGCCAGGGAAGGCCTTGGTCTGTTATTTGGCTATTCAGATCTGCCATCAGTTCAGCTACAGCCAGATCGGAAACAATGGGAGAGCAAAGAGACAAAGAAGCAAATCAATCCTTGCCTAAAGATGCTGTTCCTGACACCTCAGAGACAGGGAAATTCTTAGTCAGCCAGCAGAGGAAAAAATAAAATAGTCAGGTTAACCTTTATTTAACATAAACACAGAAATGTACCATCAACCTCCTCTTAGAAAAGTATTTTATATACATTCAAGGAGACATCGTATAAATATCAGTATGAAATGTCACTGGCTGCAATAGTTTCACTCAGCTAAAATTTTGCTGACATTTTAAAATTTCCTTAAAACATTTTGAAGTGAACAAACATAAAGCAAAGCCTGCTGGCTGCCAGGCTGCTTGGTACTTCAGTTCCAGCACTTGCTGTGAGCACCTGGGCAAAACACATCCCACCTCCAGTGTAGGCCAGCGAGGCTCTCCCCTGCAAGCTACTTCGGACAGTTAATGAAGCAAAGGAGACACTTGCCCGAGCCAGACAGTGAGAGGTTAAGGCACAGGTTTCAATCCCAAAGTTAAGCTTGCTAGAGTATAAGACATTTGCTCTGAAGAGGCTGTTGCAGAGGCTGAAACATTGCACAAGAACACTTACAGGAGCCTCTGGATGGGCTGGGGACCCTCAGCAAGATGTTTGGGAACCAGCACAGACTCTTCTGCAACTTCAAAGAAAGAAGTCCTGATCTTCTGATAACATATGAGACCCACAGAACTGATGTGGTTGCACACGGCCCACCTCCTCCCAGACTGTCTCTGGGACTGACATGGTAACTAGCCTTTACGGGGACCTCAAATGAACTAGACTATGGTCCAGGAGTAAGGAAGCTGTGGCCCTGTAGCATCTCTCGTCCTCTGCTCTGCATGGGGCCCACCCTGCTGTGAAACATCCTTCCAGCACACACCTGCACAGACTCCCCCCAGCACCCTGGGAACACCCATACCTGATCTCTCCACCCTGTACATGAGATATATGGGAGAACATGCACTTCATCTGCCTAGCATGCTCCAGCTTGTGCTTTTGCTCAAATTGTACTGCTGTTCACTCGAGCACATCCCGAGATTGCTCCAGGGGCTACTGCTGGGCCAGAAGGCTGCGAGTGGAGCTACAGCTATCAGTGAAAGCACAAGAAATCCCCCTGAATGAGCTGTTCAGTAACACTGGCCACAGAAATTGGTTCCTCCAGTTTCTAACAGGAGGAGATGTTAGGCTGCCCACAGACAGCAGCTTCTACATACAGGGCATGCTCCTGAAGCTGAGATTTCCTGGGAAAATGTGCAGATACAGAGTCTCTGCCTGAAATAAGAGCACAAGGCCAACACCCAGCAAGGAGCTGGATGAAAAAGCAGACTGCTCTCAGGACTCCTGTAAGCATCTTTGAGAAACTATTTTTGTTTCTCTCCCCCCAAACCAAAACTGAAGCTATGAACATTCAGTACAAAGCCCTCTGTGTCCTGCCAATTAGCTCTGGGGATCCAAACCACCTGCTATAAGCGCCATCTCACTGGTAGCGATGGGAGCCAGGACAGGCACAGACATTCAAGTAACAACACTCACTCCTTCATGCCAGAGCATGTGCTCCGATGGTCCAAGCTCTAGTGCCAGAGCTGCCAGCAAATCCCCAAGCACTGATAGGAATTAACAGTAATTAACAGTATAAAATGAGGCAAATACATCACATGCTTCTGCAGGCATAGCCTAACTGGGTCAGTGTCCTCCTCAGAGCAAAATGCCAGGCCTTTCAGACCAGTCCCCCATGGGTCCCAGATGGGTGACCCCAGGCCAGAGACTAGAAGTCTGGAATGGTTTGGGTGCAGCTGTGCTTGGCTCAGCACAAAAAGCAGAAGCACATGGTGGGAATCAGAAGACGTCTGTCCTCTGCACAAAAACCTCAGACACCTGCTAATTTGATGCTATTAGGGCACAGGGAGCAGGCAGATACCACTGAACCAAGCCTGCTCTGGCACCAAAACCAGTCTGACTCAAGCTCCCCATGCCAGTCCCAAGTCTCCAGCTGGCTATTTCTGGCTAGTGGTACTGCAGTTCACTAACTCCAGCATATTTTTTTTTTCTGAGATGGTAGCAGAAAAATCAGTGTAACCATCAGTCCTATGGCCAGTGTGCTCCAGGCTGCCAAGTCACAGTGTCCTAGAAAATTAAGTCCCTCTTAACAAGGGTTTTATTTCAATTGTTTCTAACTATGTAGTTAGGCTAATGCAAAGAAGAATACAAGAAAAATCAAACCTGATTCTACTTAAAGGAACTCACTCGCACAAATGGAACCAGGAAAGCCGAGGTGAAGGTTAATTACCATACTCTTCTTTATAACATTCATGAGGCTTTAGTTCTCTCTTGAATTATTCCAGGGCCAACATCTGAGCACTGTCTGCAATAGTGCTCTACTGTATGTAATATTCTCAAGTAGTTTCCTTCTCCCTTGCAGGGAAAATCTGTGCAATCTACAGTGTAGATAATGGATAGGCGGAATTCAGTGATCTGCTTGTAAATAGAGCTTGGGGCCATGTGCAGTGTGCACACATTGACTAGAAACCAATGGGATAACTAGGAACACCAGTACTTTCCTCTACAAGGAACTACTTATTATTCCAGAAACATTCCCTTCTCTATTTTCCAGTAATCCCGTGTTGCAGAAACAATGCAAGGAAATTGTAATAAATTAACTGCTTTGAACACCCAGGGAAGGAGAGAGGACACATTTCACAGCAACAGAGGTATTTTTGACATTTTCATTAATATTTCCCATGGAAAAAAACATAGCTCTTTTTGGCTTTGTGAAACAAAGTAGGTTCAGCTCTGCCATCAGTATTTTTCTATAAAAATAAGGTTTTGTATTTACTTGGGTTCTATAACTAAGTTGATTAGAAAGGAGAAGGCTCTTACAAACATTTCCGCTACTGTATTACCTCTCTAGAGACTACCTGCTAGAAGAATTCAGCTGGCTTCCATAAGTCTCTTCTTCAGATAAGCTCTAGCAACGAGTCCAGTGCTTCTTTATACAACACCTTTGTACTT